AGCTTAGATCAAAGTTCGTGTGGTCCGAGCCAACTGATGTCCACCATTTGCTTCTTGCAGATAGAGCTCTTATAAGTGATATCCAAACTAGAAAATATATTTACGGATATATATAAATATTTATGCGTATAATTATTATAGTTGAATATACAAAATGTATATATATATATATATATATATATATATATATATATATATATATATATAAAGGTGCTATATAAACCTATTTATATATATAGTAGGTTGTATCCTTCTACAAAATATATTTATACAGCTGAATATACGAAATAAACATATATAAACATATATATATATATTTGGTATATGTATAAAGGTATATGTATACATACCTATATATACGAAATTTAATTGAGATAGAAGGAATATTATTTTTACAGACAGAATTACAATACACACACACACACCCCCACACACAGGTATGGAGGTTTGGTGCTTTGTTCTTTAGAGGCAATCATCGTAATATGGGAGGCGTTACCAAATTGATTACCCATTGTAGCTCAGAATTGAAGTCATAAAGAAACGAATTCACCATGGCTGCAATGGGTAATTCCGTAATGCCACGCCATGATAGGTTTGTTTCTACGATGCCTCTAACTTTAAAAGCCTAACTATAATTAGAATCTGATTTTGTTACTTTAAAATCATCACAGCCACACACAAAATTTATACAGAGCCAGGCTTTGGTCATTTGAGGTATTGAAGAAACAAGTGTAATTTGGCACAGCATTACGGAGTTAACGCCCGTTGCAGCCCTGAAGTGAAGTCCATTTTTGTGCTTGAGTCATATGAGAAATGAATTTGCCATGGCTGCAAAAAACAGTTAATTTCGTGATGCTCCACCAAGATACATTGTTTCTACGAAGCCTCAAACTTAAAACGGCTAAAAAAAATCAGACAGATTTTGTTTCTTCAACATCATCATTGACACACTCATACACACACACCCACACAAATTATACGTTCGAGGCTTTGGGCGTTTGATGGATTCAAGAAACCATCGTAACATGGCCAGGCATTGCAGAATTAACACCCGTAGTAGCTCAGATTTGAAGTTCGTTTTTGTGCTTGAGTCATATAAGAAATGAATTTGCCATGGCTGCAACAACAGTTAATTCCGTAATGCCACGTCAATGCAAGATACATTCATTTCTACGATGCTTCAAACTTAATAAGGCTAACAAAAATAAGAAACCAAATCGCCATGGCTGCAGATAATTCAGCAACGCCACGTCAAGTTACGATGAATTCTTCAATGCCTCAAACTGTAAAAACCTGAATATCACAGTAATGTATTTCATTACTTCAAAATCATCACAACTTACCACACACACACACACACACACACAAAATTGATACACTTGAGACCTAAAAATCATGCTCACATAATTGGGGAGACTAAAACTCACAGCCTGAGTTATACAATTGCACCTTCCATTTAATCTTAACCCCACTTTCAGACACGCATACTCACAAAAATGTACCGGAGTATTTTATAAGAACTAACTTGGAATTCATTTGACTACCAGTAAGGGATCATTTTTTATATTAAATCAGGATTCCTTATAAAACAGTTACTATCATTTGAAAAAAATTACATTCGATAAATATGGAAGCAACTTAAAGTTACCTCACATTTTGTGCCACATTGTAGCCTTCATTCAATGAAAGGATCATTACTACCCATAATAAATCTTAATTTTATTTGGAAAAAAATCCAATGAGAAAAAAACCTTGTAACTGATGTTAGAACCGTAATATAATAATAAATTAATAATAAAATACTAATATAATAATAATAATATAGTGATTGTGAAAATAATTTAAAAGTTTTGAAAGAGAAATATCAATTTAGGATAGAAATATAGTTCCAGGTAGCGTTTTTGATATAAAACATATAAATAAAACATATAAAGAGAAGCAATATTATAATGGACACCACAAAAAAGTAAGTTTTAAGTACATATATAAAATTTCAAAAAATGGCAGGTATCATAGCTTAGGAGACAAATTGGTATTAATGCATACTTCGTAGATCATAGTTGTAGAGAAAATAAAATATGTGTGTGTATAATTTCTTACCCTCTAAATATAAAATATCCAGAAATATAAAAAGATTTAACAATCTTATCATATCTATTAATATCCATGGATATAAACATTTATTTTTCCTGGATAAAAAAATAGGAATAAAAATAAAAATATTTATTCAAGATCCATAAAGGAGATTAAAAAATCGAGTTATACAATTAAAATTTTAATTAAAAAACCACAGGATTCATGCATGTTAATATTCGTACCCAAATATAGATTATGTAATGTAAATCGGAAGATATACGGAAGCGATGAACAAAAAATAGTATCTTTCACAAAACAAAACTAGATTCGTTTAAATTAAAAAAGATTAAATCAAAACTAGGCCCAAAACCATCTAAATATTCGATGTTGAACAAAACACATTTGGAAATGATACCATGTATGCAGCGCCAAAATCAATCTCCGTTTTTGGTGAATATGTGAGAGACAGAGAGATGGTAGGAGAGTAGCGACACAGAGTAGACGACGGAGGTGAAAGAGAGAAGGTTGGAGAGCGGCGACACAAATAAGGGGACGGAAAGGATAATTAGGTTTAGGAAAGTTAGGGCTTATATATCAAACTGTTTCTGGGCCAAGAAAAGTAGCTGGGCCGGACAAATTTTTGGAGTACTAATGCATGTGGGCTGTGGT